AGATGGCCATGCCACAGTCCCTTCTCCTCCATTCTCCTCTTGGGATCCTAGGCACGCATGCACACACACCCGGTGTGAGTTTAAGCCACTGGGTCCGGGACGCAAACCACAGCCCACTACATGGGAGTCCAGTGACATAGCCATTACACCAACTGTTGGTCCCACACGTTCTCAATTACATGTGGAGCCTCATGGAAATAGAGGGCTGAAGAATGACTTCCAGAAGCTGGGAAGGATATAGGGAACAGAGGACAGGGCAATATATATATATTTTTTTGAGAGATTTTCACTGTAGGGCGCGTGCGCTCGCCAGACAGACAGAGAGAGACATAGAGACAGAAAGCGAGAAATCCCCCCCCAGGGGGGATGGTCACGCCGCAATCCCTTCTCCTCCATTCTCCTCTTGGGATCCTAGGCACGCATGCACACACACCCGGTGTGAGTTTAAGCCACTGGGTCCGGGACTTGAACTGCAGTTGACTACATGGGAGTCCAGTGACATAGCCATTACGCTAACTGCTGGTTCCCAAGGACAGGGCAATAATTTTAATAGAAACAAAATTACAGATATATAAAAGGAATAACTTCTAGTAGGAAGAACAAGTTATAAAAAAAAAAAAAAGAGGGCTACCCTGCCTATGGGCTTGTCCTTCTACCTTTCCTTTCGGGTAACAGTTTCTCTCTTCCTTTTGGCGAAACAAAACTGTTCTCTCATCCTACCTCATGTATCTATCTATGGTGTAGTCTTCTCAGTGCACTTTCCATAATAAACCTATATTTATTTTTAAAAAGAAAAAAACAATTTTTAAAAAAAGGTTTTTGCCAAAGGGCACATGTACTCACTGGACAGAAGATAGAGACAGTGAGAGAGAAAGTGAGAAATCACTCCCCATGAGGGACAGCCAAATCACAATCCCTTCTTTTCCATTCTCCTCCTGGGATTTTGGGTATGCATGCACATGTGACTGGCATGACTTTTAAGCCACCAGGTCCAGAACTCGAACTGTGGTCAGTGTGGTCAGCCATGTGGGAGTGCAGCACCTTAACCACTATGCCATCTACTGGCCCAAGTAACTGTATATCTCAAATAACATTTAAAAAAGGACTGTGAATGTTCCCACACAATGTAATCACAAATGATAGAAATGATGGCTATACTAATTATCCTAAGTCAATCATTACAATTATATTCTTGTACTGAAAAATCAAACATTGTATTCCACAAACATGTACAATTATTACATGGCAATAAAATATGTTCTAATAAAAAAAGAATTGACAAAGAAAGTTATTATTTCCCTCTCATCCAGCACCAATAGCTTCAGCTACTATTGTACTCTCAGTCTTTCTTGTTTTGACATGGTAATCCCTGCATTCTTTTTTTTCTACTTTAAGTAAAGTCAAGCTACTGCTTCTTTAGGAGTTGGAGTCTCCATGGCACTAACAGTTAAGATAAATTATGAACTCTTGATTATGAACACTCTGTAACAATGAGTCAGGTTAGAAATGCAGATCTAAGATCATCAATAATTCTAAAATTATTTCAGAAATACACTGAACTCTAAATAATAAATGTACATAGAACATACGTTTCAGGTTGTAGTTTTTCCATAAAAGAATCTTCCTTAATACATCCATCTACTGGGTAGTATTCTGGTCTTGTATTTACAGTTGTAGTAATCTGAGGACAAAGTGATTCAAAAAGGAAAAACAAACAAACAAACAAAAAAACACAGGTTATTCAATAAATTCCTTTTACCTGGAATCCAAACAACTATGTAAGGTATGTTACGTCCAGATGAAATGGATGATAATCTTAACAATCCTGAAAATTCTCTTTGAATCAAGAGGAAAACTGTACTTTTATTTTTATCCGATTTTAATTTTTGAAAAAAAAAATCAATAATTTGGCAACCATCAAACAGAAAATAAATGGCCAATAAACAATTTGTTCTACACAATTCTAAAGGAAATACTTGCAATAGTACTCTAAAATGTTATTCTAAGGGTCAGCTGGTGGAGTGGTGGTTAAGGCCCAGATCCCACATGGCCCATTGACTGGTTTGAGTCCTGGACCTGATAGCTTGAAAATGATGTTGAGCACATGTGTATGTGTGCCCAAAATTCTAACAGGATAGTGGAAGAGAAGAGATTATGGCATGGCCATCCCCCCAGGGAGTGATTTCTCACTTTCCCTTTCTCTGTATCTCCCAGGTGAACACATGCACCCCATAGCAAAAACCAAATAAACAAAAAAGTTATATACCCACCTTATATAAAATATGTAAAAGGATTAAACATTTACTTTTTTAAAAAATGGTATAAATATTGGAAAAAATATGTAAATACATAAAACTTTGAGATAGAAAGATCTGCTTAAGTGAAGAAAATGTAGATGCCATGAAGAAAGGAGAAAAATGACAAGTGCTGGACGCGAGTGGGAACGTGGCTGACTATGGTTCAAGTCCCAGACCTCGGTGGCTTGTTTCCTCACTCTCCCTCTCTCTCTCTCTGTCTCTCTGTGTGTGTGTGTCTCTCTGTCTCTCTCTGGGCAAATTGAAGAATAAAAAATAATTAAAAAAAAGAATTATTTAATTTTATTTGTTACTATTACTTTTTAAATTTGACTAGAGAAAAATGAGAAAGCAAGCCACTAGGTCCAGGACTCAAAACTGTGACTGGTTACGTGGGAGTAAAGTGCCTTAACCTCCATACCACCTGCTGACTCCTACAGTGAAAAACTTTGAAAACCATCTAAAGTTTTTTCTATTTTTTTATTTCAAAAATTAAAATTTTAGTTTTCAATATCTTGTCTCTTTAAAGTGGTTGCAGTATCCTTTTGCATCGCACCTAAAATATCAATTTTACTTATTCCAAAATCTGATTCCAACTTTTTTGCCTTTTCAAAGTATTTTATAATCACATTTCCTTAACATATTCTCATCTGTGCACTGTACATTCACCTATGCACTAGGTCTGTAACATTTTATTACTGTATCTCATCCCTTTCCTTCTTAGCACTTAGAAAATTGTTTAACTATAAATTTTTTGTACATTTATATTATGAAAGACTAAAAGTTGCAAAAAGGCAGGATCAAGCAGATTTAATCATTCATGCATACCTAATATTTAGCATGTGGCCTTGGCGCATAGTAAATGTACAAAAAATATGTGCTGAATAATGAATGAACATGCACATACAGCATGCCACTTATTTCAGAGTTATCATTGTTCATCCAGATAATTAGTTCTGGTTGTAGAGGCAGGAAACAGCTGTGCTGATGCTTCCATTATGATATCCGGCAGGTGGCGTGGTGGTTAAGGGCACTGGACTCCCACATGGCTGACCATGGCTCGAGTCCCAGACCTGGTAGCGTGCTTTCTCACTTTCTCTCTCTTACTGTCCCTCTCTGGTAAAATTAAAATAAACAAACAAATAAAGTTATAAAAATTATTGAATCACCATTGCTCTTAGATTATGCTAGGCCTCTTAACTTTGTATTTCTTCTTCCCTGATAAAATTTTTCCAAAGAACTGTCTGTACTTAATTTCCATGGTCTCTCCTCTTTTCAAGGAGTGTGGGTCCATCAGGTCTTCTTGTTTTAGTAAAACTGCCACTTACCAAAATCACCAATAACTGCCCTGCAGTCAAATCTCTCAGTTCTTGTTCTACTTGTAGCATTTTGACTAATTTGATTAGTTTCTTTTCTGAAACATTTTTTCCACTTGGCTTCCAAGTCATCCACTTCCTTTACTATCCTTTGCATGATCATTTCTTTTTTGAATTCTTTCTTGGTTCTCTTTTATCTTCCCATCTCTTAAGAATTGAAGTACACGGGTCTCATTCTATAGACCTCTTCCCTATCTACATATACTCATTCCTTGGTACTTGGGTCTCATTCTATAGACCTCTTCCCTTCACTATCCACATATACTCATTCCTTGGTGTTCTCAACTGTCCATGGCTTTAAATACCGTCTATTAGGAAAAGTCATGACTCATATTTACATAGAAAAAAATACATGATAGTTTTTCCAACAACCCAGTATATGTTTGTGCTTTATGGGAAGGAAAAATGGAGGGAAAAGGATTAAAGTGTGACCATGGCTTACTGGGGGGGATGTTTTCTCCCTATTCGATGGATGAATGTACATGCACTCTTAAAGGACAATTTAGGGATTGGTTGAATAAATTATGATATCTACACAGTCATAAAAAATTATGTAATCTATTTTAATTTACATGGATAAGTATCAAATATCACTGGAGACCATAACATCCTCACATTTTTTAATTCAAAAAACAAAAACATCTTGGGAACTAGCAGTTAGCGTAATGGCTATGTCACTGGACTCCCACGTAGTCGACCGCGGTTCACGTCCCGGACCCGGTGGCTTAAAACTCACGCCGGGCGCATGTGCGTAAGTGCCCAAGATCCCGAGAGAAGAATGGAGGAAAAGGGATTGCGGTGTGACCATCCCCCCTGGGGAGTGATTTCTCGCTTTCTGTCTCTATGTCTCTCTCTGTCTGTCTGGCAAGCGCACACGCCCT